CAGAATACCGAGACAAAGTCTCAAACATTCTGAATATTTTAACCTCTATATTTCCTGAAAAGCTTGAACAAGAACATATTTTGATAAGGCCAGAAGGAGATGCATCAAAAACTCCGACGGGAAGGAACTTCAGAGAAGTAATCAACTCATGAGGAGTCTCTCTTAAGCTTTTTTTGTTCTACATTTTTCATTGAAAATCCTAGTTTTTGTCATCATAAAAAAGGGGGAGATTGTTAGAACATAGTTTGATTCTACAATCCTTAGTTAGAGTTTTGATGATAACAAACACAAAGAACAAATATGCACTCTAAATTTGTGTTATTTTGTATGCAGAAGTTCTGACCAAAGCAACAAAAGTTAAGCTATAGAAGCTTTCAAGCTGAGGTAATTAGAATCTGCACTGAAGAATGATGATCAGAACCTGCGCTGAAGTGAAGAATACTCTGATTCTGAACAGAAGTTTCATATACCATCAGATCCTCACACATTTGAGTCATCAATATTCTAAAGCAATTGCAACATGCAAGATTCTAAGTTCTGAAGCGTTACTATTCAATCAAGATAGCATCACATGCAACGACTTCAACCAGACGAGAATCTTCTCAATATAGAAACAACATTGAATGTCCATTATCACGCTTTATGCTGGACATGATTTCCATGCCTATATAAACAAGCTAAGAGGATAAATCATTTACGATTTTTCCAAACAACGACAATATCTCTAAAACGCTGCAAGCCTACATATTCATATCTACATTCAAAATTGTGTAAAATATCACAGTTGTGATACTGTTTTTGTAAAGAAAAACAACTATACACAAAATACTCTTTTATCTTGATTAAGCTAGTTTTCCTTGAGATTAACCGGGGTGTGGTTGTACTCAAGAAGACTTTGGCAGTTGTCAAAGTAGTGTTGTAATCAGTTTTTGATTAGTGAATTAAGTCCTCGTTGGAGAGAGGCAAAATCACCTTGATGGGTGGACTGGAGTAGTTTGAGATCAAACGAACCAGGATAAAAATATCGTGTCTACTGCGCTTTTGATTTTAAGTTTTCAATTCAACCCTCCTTCTTGTGTTTTTCACTTCTTCAAATCCGACAAGCATGATTTTTCAACCACCCTTGACTCCACTTATTTTCAAGTCTCCATGAAGGTTTTTCTTCTTTTATTTTGCAGTCCTTCAGCCACATTAAAAACATAATATCCAAAGCTCGCATAACCGTCCCTTTGAGATGCTACAATAACCCTACTTACCTTATCACGAGTCAAATGATAATCAAAGATTTATGTAGTCATCCCCTCACTATACTATCAATATCCATAGTAGGAAACTCCACCTCAAATTAAGTTTTCACCGTTATAGTTTCTCCCAGGTTTTTCCCTTGGTTTTCACTATTCTCCCTCTGGAGAAATTCTCTACCAACCAAGTAAGTTGTTTTAACCTCAACTCTTACCCAAAAACTCAATAACAACTCAACAACATGAATTTTTATCCCTTGATTTATGCAAAATTCATTATACTCCTCTGAAACTTTCTCAAGTCATTCATAACACCTTAAATTCAAATCTCATAGTTCTTCCTTATCATGAAAGCCTCCACTAGTTAATGATGAATGAATAACATTTGAACATTCTAAAATATATATACCACATATTTTAGACCCTTTAACAATAATTAATTCATCACACGAAATCTTTTACACTCCATGTTCAACTCTAGTACAATAGCCTAGATCATCAAACATACTTATAGATGATAAATTTCGCTTGAGTTCTAGAACATACCTCTCATTGTGAATAATAAGTTCATGATCATCAAACATTTTAAGTCTGACCATACCAATACCATGAACCTTGCAAGCCTTATTATCACCAAGGCGAACTACTCTACCTTGCATCATCTTCCAAGTTTCAAAGTATTCTATTCTTGGACACATGTGATAAGAGAAATCTAAGTTAATGATCCAACTATCTTCAGTTTCTAAACTCAATACTACTAGTACATCGATATCCTCATAACTTTCCTCAGCCAAGGCAACTGCAGCTTGAACTGAATCTTCATTGACCTTTCTCTCTTGACAATTCCTTTTAAAGTGACTAATTTTTTGACAATTAAATTTTTTTACCTTTGGATTGTTAGACCTCTTTGATTTTAACATCCTTTTACGCTCACCTCCTTCTCTTAACACATTTAAGCCTTCACCACTATTTTCAATCTTCAAATCTTTCAACTTTGAAAATTCTTTGGATTTCACCGCCGTCTGGACTTCATCCAAAGTAATAGTACTTTCCTTACCATAAAAAAGGGCATCTTTAAAGTGCTCAAATGATATGGGTAATGAACTTATCAGTAATAAAGCCTTGTCCTCATCATCAATCTTCACTTCAATATTCTCAAGATCATCAATAATCTTGTGAAATTCTGTAAGCTTCTCAACTATAGAGTTATGCTCTACCATTCAGAATGAGTAAAGTTGTTGTTTCAGACACAACCTGTGAGACAAAGACTTAGTCATATATAATAATTCAAGTTTTGCCCACATAACAACCACAATTTGCTCCCTGGAGACCTCTCTTAGAACTTTATCCCTGAGGTACAAGATAATGGCACTTCTGGCCTTATCCACCATCGCGGTCTTTTTTACTTGTGTAAGACCTATATGCATCAATGCTCCACTCTTCAAAGCATCAATACACTTCTCTTGAATTAAAATTACTTGCATGTTAATTTTCCACAACCCGAAGTCGTTGTTTCTAGAAAATTTCTCGATCTCCCATATGTCCACGATGCTAACTTGTAAACAATACCTCTTTGCTCCACGCTGACCGCACCACTTATTGTCAATCTTGTTGTGAATTACGATAAAATTCAAAATCAATTTATTAGGCAATGAATAGTAGCAACCAAAATAAATGGTCTACATCAATAATAATTCGTACAAATATAATATAACAAAATAAAGCAAGAAAAAGACAAATGTTTGTTTACCTAGTTTGATCAAACGATCTACTCTAGGGGGAAAAATAACTCTTCAATTTACTATACTCGAAAAGTTGTTACAAGAGATTACATATGCGTTACAAGAAAATAGCCTTTGCCTCCAGGTTCCCAAGAACAACCCTGAAGGCTCACAAAAATTAACCTTATTTTCTATCAAAGTGTTTCCAACCTCTTCAACCTTCAATATTTGAATAACCCAAACCCAAGGGGTAAATAAGTGTTTTCCAATTTCCAATAACCTTAGATAACTCCAAAAGTTTCCAAAACCCATGCCTTTTTAAGGTTTTCCTTGAGAATAATCAAAACCCCATGTTATGCCTTAAATCCTTGCTCTCCCTTGTTTCTTTAAGCTCTAAGATTGACACACCGTAATAACAAAAGAGACACATATTTATAATTCCTAAAATCCAACAAATCCAAAACATATATCATTAATAGTTAGAATAAAAGATATTATTATAATCTTATATCTCTCAAATATATATATATATATATATATATATATATATATATATATATATATATATATATATATATATATATATATATATATATATATATATATATATATATATATATATATATATATATATATATATATATATATATATATATATATATATATATATATATATATATATATATATATATATATATATATATATATATATATATATATATATATATATATATATATATATATATATATATATATATATATATATATATATATATATATATATATATATATATATATATATATATATATATATATATATATATATATATATATATATATATATATATATATATATATATATATATATATATATATATATATATATATCTTATAATATTTTTTTATATTAATTTATATGATCTCCAAATTAATATAAAATCTATAATATTAATGAAAGGATCAATAAATTAAACCGACCGAATTCGATACTCGTAAATCGTTTGAATCAAATTATTTTTCGGATTTTTGATTTTTTGACAATATCAAAATATGTTTTCTTTCTCTTCATCAATAAAGGGTTTTAAGGCATATTCCAATATTAATCAACTAGTTAAATAAATTCAAACTTGATAAATGAGAATGGACGACGTGTAATATAAATTAAGACGAGATCCGTGCGATAACACAAATTTTTTTATAGTTAATTTTAAACATTACATGTAGATAAAGTGATAATAAGAGTAATGATTATCCGTAAAAGAAATGATGGTCAAAATGGTAAAAACAATAAGTGAAATGATAAGAAAAAATAATTCAAATGGTAATCGATAATATTCTAAACACATCTTAACCATCTAAATGACACAATCACAAACTTTTAAAATATAATAAATATTAATATATTAAAATACTGATAAAAATATAGAATCAAGAATTATTAAATTAACTCTGTATTACAACCAATTCAAACTTGTATTTGTCTCGATACATTTATTGGAACTAGAGTATCACTAAGGAAAGAATAGTTGTAAAAAAGAAGAAAAAAAAAGAAAAAGAAAAGTGGATTATAGAACACGAGTTACCCGGATCCGAGTAGAAGATCCGATCCTATCCAATCCGGGTTGAGTTAGAGTGGGAGTGGATGGAGATGGATTGAGAGGAGAGAGAGAGAGAGAGATTAACATTGGAAAATGGGGATTAAGGCGTGAGACTATACGAGAAGAGAGGAGAGTGCAAAATTTCCAAACCAAATCCACCATTTCTGAACCAACCAACCACCACCACCACTTCCATCTTCTCTCTCACACACATAATCATCAAGGTTCCAAAATCCCCTTTCCCTTCCCTGCGTATACTTCAGATTTCAATTTCCGATTCGCCATAATTTTCATTTTCATTTTCACGATTTCTCGTTAATTTCAAAATTATGGTTTCAATTTCATGTTTTTGATTCGATTCCTCTTTGTTTTTTGTCAGAAATTGATTTCTCTCTCTGAATCGAGGGAAGGATTGGGATTTTTTTGGAGAAGAGAGGAATATGCAACAGAGACTCAAGTTGCAGCAACAACAACAAGCACTCATGCAGCAAGCTTTGCTTCAGCAACAGCAGATGTATCATCACCCTGGCATGCTTGCCGCTGCCGCTATGACTCAGGTAGGTTATTTTCTTCCCCTTTTAGCTTTCGAGATCTTTTCCTTTTCATTTTCTATGAATATCTATGAATAATGCCTTAAATGATACACTTCTTCATTGAATTGTTAAGGAGCGTATGATTGAACTTAGAATATATAGAATTATAGATACTTTTCAATGTTAATTCTATATATCTATGCTTTTTTATTTTGTTTTGAATTTCACAGTAATTTTTTAGGTCACTTCCCGGCCTCCAAATTGTTAATATACACTTATATTGACTTTTGTGTGTGTATGCTCATCTAGTTTTCTTCATTGAAGAAATTGGTGCCTGAGTAATTTATTGTTATCAACAACAACTACCACAACCTAGCCTTTTCTCATTAAGTGAGTTGGGTACATGAATTAAATTAAGCTATAATGTATAATGTTTTGTCAAAAATCATGCTTTTATTCAATTAAGTCATCTCAATATCTTTTTTTTTATAGTTTCTTTTTAGTTTTTCTAGGTTTCCCTCTGTCTCTCTCGATTTGACTACCCTCCATCAGTCTTCTTCTACATGTCCAAACCACCTAAGTGTCTATTGTTTACACCATCTTTTTTTACTATAGGTGCCATCCTAACACTCTTATCTCGTTTAGTCTTACCACTCATCCAACACAACATCATCATCTCTACTACACTTAGTTTATTCCGTGTTGGTTTTTTACAATCCGACAACATCGTCGGTCTTACAATTGTCCGATAAAATTTTCATTTCAATTTGAGCAGTACTTTTGTATCACTTTGAACACCAGAGGCCCTCCTCCATTTCAATCACCTAACTTGAATTCAATGGTTTACGTCTCTTTCTATTTCTCCGCCGTTTTGTATATAGATCCAAGATAATTAAATCACAAGTTGTAAACGCTTCTCCTTTGCCAAACTTACATCCCACACACTCCATCTTACTTCTGCTTAGGAGGAAGTTATACGCTCCAATTAAGACTATATCATTTGCTAAAAGCATAAATTACGATGCTAGCCCTTGAACGTGTTCCGTAAGTACATCCAAAACTAAGTAAAAAGGCAAGTGGTTAAGTTTGAACCTTTGTGCAATCCTATTCTTATGGGAAAATCATCGGTCTCTCCACTTTGTGTCCTCACACTTGTCAAGTTTTCCTCATATATATATCTTGGATAACTCGAATATCGACAATCCTAACCTTTTTCTTCTCTAGGAATTTTAACAAAATCTCATTACACTCTATGACATGCCTTCTCCAAATCAATAAAACTACGTGCAAGGTTTGTTGATCCATCCGATATTGCTCAATCACACGTCGTAGTAAATAGACCGCTTCCACGGTGAACCTCTCAGGGATAAAACCAATTGATTATCAGTAACATGAGTCTCTTTTCTTAGTCCGTGTTCAATCACTCTTTTCTATAATTTCATTGTATGACTCATAAGTTTAAGTCCCCTATAATTTGTACAATTTTGTATATCCCCATTGTTCTTATAGATTGGAATCAGTGTTATCAAATAGCGGCGCCATGGCCGCTATGGCGGATATACATTGCGGTTTTTGGGTTTGCCGCAATGGTGAATATTGGCCGATATTGCAGGGTTTTCCGCCATAATCTGCTATTAGTATGGTCGGATTTTGGTTCTCCGCCATGAACCGCCATCCGCCATCGACAACACTGATTGGAATAAAGGGTTTCGTCTCTATTCATCCGACATTTGCTTTGACCTCATAGTTTAGTTAAAAAGTCGTGAGCCATTCAATGCCTCCATCTCCATGACTCTTACACACTTCGATAGATATATTGTCCGACCCAACTACTTTGCTGTTACTCATCCTTTTCAACGCTTCTTTTACACTGTATTTTTAAATCGGACGATAGTGGTTATAGTTTCAATTCTCTTTAATGTCTAGGCTGTTAAAGTTTGGTAAGATCTCATATCCTTCATTAAAGAAATTGTGGAAATACTCCTTTCATCTATCCTTTATATTCGTTTTCTGAATAAAATTTTTTCCTTCTCCTTAAGCACACTTCACTTGATCAAAGTCTCTCTTATTGTTCTTTCTCTTCTCTTAACAAGCCTATATATTGATTTTTCTCCCTCTTAGTTCCTAAGGATTGGTATAATCCTTCAAAAGTTTGAATTCTTGCTTAGCTTACCGCCTTTTGAGTCTGTGCTATCTTCTCTATACACAGCCTGTCCCAAGCCCGAATAAAAGGAGAGGGCCATGTTAGGCAGTCAACAGTCAATGTAAAACTTTGCCGAACCTCTATGACTTGGATAAATAATGAATAATTTATTGTTATCATTTGGAGAAATTTGGTGGCTGGCTGGCTGGCTGCTTGTAGTCACTTACCATTCCTCTTAGTTTCTCCTTATTTCTTAATATAGACCAAGTTTGGCAGTCTTCTGTTGTCCAACTTTATATAATTTTTGTCTTTATTATTGACCGAGCATATTTTGAGCATATTTTTTGCATTTGTTTGGAAATTAGCCCCTATTATCGCAAGGGACAGACTTTGGAGGAAAAAATGGAGTCATGACATTTGATTGAATATCAAGAGTAGATTTTGGCAACCTCATATTTGTAAATTACTCCCTCCATTCTCTTTTATAAGAAAATTTTAACTTTTTAGATTAATTTAATAATTGATGTATCTAACTTATATATAGTCTACATACATTATTTATTCAATGAATCTAAAAAGTCAAAATTTTCTTCTAAAAGAGAATGGAGGGAGTACTCGTTTGTGTTTTTTTTTTACCTCAGTAACAAATCACTGCATAATTTTCTATGACTTTCCAATTACAAAGAACAAAAACAAATAAACGGGTCTTCAATTTCAATATTCTAATAGAAACAACTCAACGCTTGCCAAAAGTTTCTCTAATCTGTTGAAGTCTATTAAAGAAATCTCAAGAATAGTTATCCTATGGACACAACTAACAGAAATCACAAAACTTCAGATTAATGATTATCCCACAATGGATGAACTGTTAAACAAATTATTTTCATTGGTTATAATACGGTAAACTAAAATTGTATCCCAATTGAGTGGTTTATCATTTGTATTGTTAAGGGGCATGTTAGAAATAGTCACTGTTTTACTATAAATGAAACATTGAAGTTAATTCCTTTTCTCTTTCTTTCTACGATTCTGTTTAGGGTATCTTCCTATTGTAGCAAGGATCTTATTTTCCCCCCTTTTTAATATTTGTTATGGAAATTTTGCAGATGGAGCCTGTACCAAGCGGAAATCTGCCTCCTGGTTTTGATGCTTCTGCATGCCGTAGTGTGTGAGTGTTGGGTTTCTTTCTGCTTTTATATGCTTTTTGTCCTCAGTTTTGTTGTTTTTCCCCAAATTTGGAAATTTCCCTTTTGGTGCATAATTTCTAACTGCAGATGCAAATTTCTTTTACATAATGATGTTTTTAATTGATCTGAACTTGTGAGAGATAAATCGATGCTATTATCAGAAGTAGTATAGTTTTCTACTTTGATACCACTAATCTGAAGTTTTGTGCTTTCAGTTATGTAGGAAATATTCATGTAAATGTCACCGATAAACTTCTTGCCGAAGTTTTTCAGAGTGCTGGCCCTCTTGCTGGGTGCAAGCTCATAAGAAAAGAAAAGGTTTGATTTATAATTCAATTCCATGTTCTTTGCTGATGAATGGTGATCATATATATTATTACTATTTTTAGCAAACATTAAATGCCCTCTTCTTCCTTAGCTAACAACTATAAGGACTCATTTTTTTACAAAATATGGTTATTAGTACTGATGAGTGAGTACTTTTTTTTAATGTCTGTTTCGGATAATTCATTCAGATTTTCTTTCTGGGGTCTCTCCTTGTATTAGGTTTTTGGATTGGACCTAACTCATCCTTACAAAACCGATTTGTAAGGTTTGTTGTATACAAGGTGTTTTTTCAGCCCCCTCCCCAACTAAAAATGAAATTATATTCCCCGTCCGACTTATTTCTATCCATTCTAATGTAAAGCCCAATCAGTAGACAAGCATTACTGTAGTAGTGGAGTGGAAGGACTATCATTTCAAGATTGATCTATTCCTTTTCACTGCTGTAATGAATTTTTCATTGAACCCGGATAAAAAAGATTTATAGCTTATAGAGAACAAACCTCTCATGCTTAGAATTTTGAATCAAACAAGTTTCAAGAGCCCTTTCCCTACTCTTGCTTCCATCTCTTCTTTATTAACTATTTTCAGACCTTATATATTTTCAATGTAGAACTTGGGTAATTCCATGTACATCCTCTCACACTGGGTATACCATTTGGCCTGGTACATGGATAATATGGGGAGTGGCCCAATCAACAGGCGCTAATGTCATATTAGAATTTTGGATTAAGCCTAACTCATCCTTTCAAAATCGACTTGTAAAGGGAGGGCTGAAGGATGTCCTTCTTTATAAACTGTTTTCAGACCTTATTTCTTTTCAATACGAGACTTGAGTTTTTCCAAATACTTTGAGATCTTTATCCTATACAAGTGATAGGGTGTCAAGGAATTCTGAAATGACACACATCATATTCCGTTAAAGAAAAGCATGTCAGTACATGGTACCAAAGTTGTTTGGTGAAGGGGGACTGGCCTTTTCCAACAGAGTGTTTTTGCTGTCTCCCTTCTAGAGACTCTTTACTGCTTGATGAATGGGGTGGTAGGTAGTGTGTTGTCCTTGTTGTTTAAATTATTGGTCACTTATTTTTCACGATACCAACCTTGGTAGCGTACCCGTAAGATGGGCTTCTCTAACTTGGAATTATGTGTTGAAAGCTGAGAGCTTGAGAGAGAGAAAATGCAGCTAAGAAGGTCATAAACTATTTAGATCCTGCTCGTGTGTTATAACTTAGAAGTTTAAAGTCAATTGCCATAGTTATCAGCCTTGCTGTGGGTTGTACAGTAAACTTCCCCTGACAGCTGCTCTAAGTCTGGCATCTATGTAGACTACATGTGCTATGTTATTTTTCTAGTCCTTATTTCTACTCCAGTTCCTTACTTTTTGGTTTCTGCTGAAATTACTGTTGCAGTCTTCTTATGGTTTTGTGGACTACCATGATCGAGCATCCGCAGCACTTGCAATAATGACATTGCATGGTCGACAACTGTAAGCATCATGTTCAATTCATATTTATTCTTGTTCTGTGGCATATTTGCTTAGCATCTGAACTGTGAATGCATTCTTCATCTGGCTTTTCTGGAGATAGATGAATGATTATCATTTTTCACATACTTGGGAATGTAAACATTATTCTAATGGCTCTACAGTTTTTTCATTTATTCTATGTTGACTCTTACTGATACTGTTTTAAAATTAAATAGGCAGTCTTGACAAGGGTGTTTATGTTTTCCTTAACATATAGCAACATCACAATAGTTAACTCTTGTTATTTCCATTTGCAGATATGGTCAAGCACTTAAGGTGAATTGGGCATATGCCAATAGCAGTAGGGAGGATACCTCAGGTTACCTTTAAATGCAACCCATCTGTTGTTATTTTTGATTTTTATGCTTCTTGGGGACATTCTTTTTCTTTTTAATTTTCAGTTGTATATTCCTTTAATTTTTAGTTCAAAATGATCAGGGCACTTCAATGTATTTGTCGGTGATTTGAGTCCAGAGGTTACTGATGCAACTTTATTTGCATGCTTCTCAGTCTATACTACTTGTTCGTGAGTTCCTCGTTGCTTATTTCCCCCTTTATTACATTTTTTTGGGTCACTGGGATAGGTATTTTTTTTGTGTAGTCCTTGTTAGTGGTGAGACGTTGAGGAAAGATAAATGATATACGGGAGTTAACTTCAGGTTACTCAGCCTTGCAAAACATTTTGGTTCTTTGGAACTTACTTTTCCATCTTTTCTCTTATTATTTACAGTGATGCTAGGGTTATGTGGGATCACAAAACTGGTCGCTCAAAAGGATATGGTTTTGTTTCTTTCCGTGATCATCAGGTATTGCTTATTCTGTATGCTAGAATATATTGGAGAGATCAACCAATGAAACATCCTGCAATATTTTCTTTTAAGATCGTTATCATTGCTCTCAATGTATTTTTTCCCTTTTAGCTGAATAAATTAGTACAAAAATAAATTAATTCTTATAACAAATCATTGAAGTTCTTATTTTCCAATAGTAAATGTATTAATAATTTGCTGAACTATTAAAATGATTCATCTTTATGCAACTATTATGCAGGATGCCCAAAGTGCCATAAATGATATGACGGGTTAGACATTTTGTTGTTTACTATCATACTGTTTGTTCATGCTTCTGCTATTATGCTTCTGTTGTTATTTGACACTGTTCCTTTCAACTTGTGTTTCTTGCATCATGTAGGTAAATGGCTGGGAAATAGACAAATAAGATGCAATTGGGCAACTAAAGGTGCTGGTGGCAGCTCAAATGAAGAGAAGATCAATGACAGCCAAAATGCCGTTGTGCTTACAAATGGGTCTTCAGGTATGACTCACCTTTCTTAATATAGTATTTGGCAGTGGATTTCTTATTGCTTGATGTTTTAGGCACCAGTTTTGATGCATTGTTTAGCATATTGTGCTTGTGGTATTGGTTTTATGTACTTTTATCATACTATGTTTAAAAGCCATGCGTAGAGCCATCCAAATCGTTAATATGGATAACAAACAGAATTTAGTTTTAATGAGACTTTTGTAATTGTTTGTTTACATGCTGAGTATTCTAAATTTCTAATGTTATTTGTATTTGGCAAAATATGTGCTCATTATTTCTTTTGGATATTTTTTCTGTAGCTAAGTTTATTGAATATTGAATGACTACAGTGATTGGAATTGAGACCCCATTAAGCTCTAATGCTCTATGCCCTCATTTGCTGGGAGATAAGTTTAGTTATTTGTTATGTGTTTTACAGATGGAGGTCAAGATAACAGCAATGAGGATGCTCCTGAAAATAATCCTTTATACACCACAGTTTATGTTGGCAACCTTCCCCATGATGTAAGTTATATGAATTGAATGAAATATTATGATTATTGTGTGTTAGAGATGTTGGTTTATATAGTTTCATCTTGTATTTGCTTTGAAATAAGAATGGGTTGCGCGCATGTTCCCTCAGGCTCATTAGTTTCTGTGTAACAAGATTGCTATAGCTAAACTGTAGATAAATACCAAATCCACCCTGTAACTAATTTAGTTTTAACAATAGTAATCAGAATGTTCTGATAGAGCAGAGTAATATTAAAAAATTCAAGCACAATTTGTGCTTGGTGTTGGCTTGACTGATAGTTTGACTATTCTCAACTAGCAGAGTTTGTGGTCTGGTTTGTGTTTTGTTTTTAGCATGATGCATACATTCAATTACTGGTGGGTTTTGTGAAAGATTTGATCGATACAATCATACAAATATTGAAATTTATTCGATGGTGGAGCAACAAACATGATTTGCACCTTATCAATGGACATGCAGGGATGGATTCAAGGGGGGAAAACCCCTGCTTCCAATATATATATATATTATTTCCTGATAATTACGAAATATGTTTTCATTTTATAGACTTTTGCACTGAATTATAATAGTCCCCTATATTTGAATAGAAAAGGCTGTCATTAAGTTAGTAATACATATTTTATACGTTCTAATGGTCCTTTTCATCCAACAAATGAATAAAAATGATTCTAATTGAAAGAGACACATATTCAGGGCATCATGCTCAACTTTGTAAAATTTATAACACTTATTTTATTTGAACACGTTACTTTTAGAGTAACCGTCATTTTTTATCCTCCAAATATATAATTGGCATCACATTGACCATCTATTTATTAGCAACACAAACACGACCTCTAATGTCAGCTAAGCCATCAAAGTGGCCCTTCAGTCCCCCAAGAGTGATTTTTTCTTCTCATTAATTGCTCTAGAATGATTAAAACCATCTTACAGATGCATTGTTCTTTCTATTCAATTTTAGTTTATTTAATACAGGATCAAATGACGGGTGGATACAACTTGTTTGCTTGTTTTACTAAATTGATGGATTTTGGGGTTATACATTTTTTTACCCTCCGACTTAATTTTGGTCATGTATTGTTGTGATTCTCATATCTGTCCAAAGTGTCTTCAAAGTTGCCAATATTGGTGCAGCTTTCTTATGACTCACTTAACCACCTCTGTCTTCACTTGTTCTTGGGTCTCTTGTAACTGAATGAATAGCCTGTGTTTTTGCTCTTATGAACAGAGTGTAATGGTGTCTTTTCATTTTTATCAGTCTCTTTTACCCTTATCCATTTGTCCTGTTTTGGATTTAGTCTTGATTGAAAAAAGGCATTCCAGTGGTTTATGTAGAAATTCAGCTGCAGAGTGTTATGTAATTGCAGAAGTCACCGCTGCTGTGGTATTACCATGACAGCTATTTAACACTACTGGATGGACAGTTGCAGTGTGGCGTGGTTGCAGAACTCGCAACAACTTTAATGTGACACAGTATAGAATTCAAAACTATGCTGAGACTAATACCCTTTTCTGACTTTAATTTACAAAATCTTTTTTGGTATTGCAATTTGCATCTCTTCCTTGCATCATCTCTGAAGAATATCTAATCTGATCTGTGAATGACAGTCTTTCCATTTCTTGCAAATTATGAATTGTTTGGTTCACAATTTTCTGGATATGTCGCAGGTAACACAGGCTGAACTCCATTGTCAATTCCATGCATTGGGAGCTGGGGTACTTGAGGAGGTCCGAGTTCAGAGGGATAAGGGTTTTGGATTTGTAAGATACAATACTCACGAGGAAGCAGCACTGGCTATTCAGATGGCTAATGGAAGACCAGTTCGTGGGAAGACGATGAAGGTGAGAAGCCTTTCACCTCTTGCTTGTCTTGTCAATTAATAAATTGCCATTTCAGTGTTGGGGCTAGTGTTTGCCCTATGTAATAGGGCACGGTAAAGTTTTTTTTAAAGAATAGGAATGATAATATTTTTTTCCCCCTCACGCCAATAGCCGTATAATGTTACTTGTGTGTTGATACAAATATGCTTGCACCTATACATTATTGTCCCGGCTAGAAATAAGTAATGAGTTCCAGTGTTGTTCAATAGTGGCTACATCGTATAGTGGAGCTATAGAATGTAGCTTAGTGGGATTCCTATGAACCTCTATTTTCAGCAATCTCTGATTGACAACTGGTAATGACACAATTACAAGCTCACCCTTTCAAGTAGGCTTTCTAAAGGCTGGAGGTATGTTTTCAAGTGAGTCAGCGAGTATAATTTATGTTACTTTATTTGTGCAGTGTTCATGGGGTAGCAAACCAACTCCTCCTGGGACAGCTTCAAATCCATTACCTCCTCCTGCTGCACAGCCATATCAAATACTTCCTACTGCAGGGATGAACCAAGGCTACTCTCCCGCTGAGTTGTTGGCTTATCAGCGCCAGCTGGCCTTGAGTCAGGCCGCCGTATCTGGCCTTTCTGGACAAGCTCTTCTTCAAATGTCTGGACAGCATGGCCTAGCTCCCGCTTCAATGGGTATAAACTCTGCGGCATCTCAAGCCATGTATGATGGATATACTGGTAATTCGTCAAGACAGCAGCTTATGTACTATCGTTGATGCATTGGCTTTTCACCAGTTGCTTGTTGCCTTCTGGGGCATTCATGTGCATCATCATCACATTTCTCTTCGCTTCACCACAACAGCACGTCCTTTTCGAACTGGGCTTTTTATTGCAGTATTGTGGCTTTATTTTTATTTATTTTTTTACCGTGTTGTAATTTATATTGTTTGATCTAAGAGGGTTTTATGACTCAAAAGGAATCTATGTTTTGCTAGGAAGAGCTGCGAGTTTTATGTTTGGGTAGTTTTTATTATCTTACCTGTATCTTTTTTATTATCTTATCTGTATCTTTTTTATTATGGTTACTGTATATTTATAAAGTATTGACTCTAGTTCATGTTAAATTAGTTTTATATCTCTCTTGTTTTCCTTTAGTTCCGTGACAACTTATCAGCAAAGAATTCTGCAGTGTTAATTCTGGCACGTATCAAACCTTTTTTTTTTTGTGACTAAATTGAACCTATTTTTCTTACATTCTATTTTTTTGAGTTGATGGACACATGGCCCTTCAACCGTTACTTTAACTCAGACTCATTACTTGGCTTTGTGATGCGTCAAAATTATTCTCTAAATTATTGTTTGGAATTCAATAATCTGTAACTTAAGACCAAATGCGTTTATTTTTTGACATTATAACTGATAAGTTTTTCTTCTAACCCGTGGAATGCTGATGGAGGGATTTCACGCCATCTTATCATCTGCGGTTCATGCAACCGATTGCCAATTGCTTAGTTATGCTTTCATTGCTAGCATGCATTTTGTTGTGCCCAAGTTTTCTTTAAGTTTGATTGTTTGCATTGTTATGGGTAGGAACTTGGCTGTGAAATATATGATTACCAACCCCAAAATAAACCTAACACCTATATTTTCATAATACCAAAAATACATTTTCTCAAAAAAAGAACAACTTTTCAGAATTAAATTTCTGGTACGAGCTTTGGAAATTTCAAAATTGTTGATAAAATACTGGAAATTTCAAAAATTTTGGTAAAATCTTTCGGAAATTTCAAAATTACTTGTAAAATCTTTAGCAAATTTTAAAATTATTGGTAAAATTTTTTGAAAATTTCAAAATTTCTGGTCAAAATCTCACTTTTTAAAGAATTTCTGAGATGTGTTTGAAATTTCTGATATCGCAAGTGAGATTTCAAATTGAAAACTTTGAACAAAGTTATTATGGTCTTTTCATACATTTATTGGGGTGCTAGATACAATTTAGAAGTGGTAAGTCAAATGTTCCTGAAACAAGTTTTTTTTTTTTTGAATTTAGAGGCAGTAATAATAGGTTAATTTTGATTTTTTTTTTGGTTTTGAATGTCAAATTGTTAGTTGGGAGTGTTATATTTATGCATTTGCCATGTTTAAATTCTGGACCTCCAACTCGTTTTACCCCTTAACTCAATTGGCACAAGTCAGTTGAGCCATCCTTCTCACCCGGTTGATTTTAATTGATTTTTTGGTGGAAAATGTCAAACTATAGATAATTTTAATCAAATTAGTTAGATATGTAATTTTTTTTATTCGTAGCTAAAATGGTAATAACCATTAGAAACTCACATACAAAACAATGAGTACCAGAGTTTGAACTCTCGTGATGACGTCTAACTAACAATTCGGCTTCTGCTAGTTGAATTAGAATTTGCAGACTTGATTTGTAATTTCAATCAGATCCGATTTAGAATGCTGTAAAAATCAGTCTCATTCCTTACAAATCAGTCGTCTTAATTGAATTGGTTTGAGTTGTGAATGTTTATTTTTTACTTACAGTATGTATAAAAATACCCCCCAATGGTTTTGTAACTGTTTTAATTCATGAGGCTTTTATATTTTAACAAGTTCATGTAGTTGCTCACACTTTGATAAAAAAATATTATTATTACATTACAAAAAATTGGCTTGGCTATCTGTAATGTATGGTAAAAATGTTTACATGTGTATCTATATGAATTCTCTTTTTGTTCAAACACTATGATAATCTATTAACATTTCTGTTAATCTATAACAAACGAGCCCTAAAAGGCCACGCTTTTGTTGCAGACTATATTGACATAAGGAAAAAACAAAACTTCGAGAGTCAAACATTCTACAAAACCAAACCACCTAAGTAATTTACATTGAACCCTCCCCGGAGATCAAAAACGGTCTTGTTTCGACTGTCAAAGACCAACTGTTATGTTTCTTCGAACCTCATCCGAGTGAGGAGATAGAGGACAGCTTCCATCCTGCAAAAAGGTCAACATGGCTTAAGCTCATATTCATTGTAATGAAATTTTTACTATCATAGACTGGAAAACAATGCAGAGATTTAATTTACCAGCTGCACTGAAATTTGTGTCTCATGGGAACCATTCGTCGAGCTAGGACTATTTGGTGTTGAATTTTGGTTACTTTTATCAGCAAGTACTCTCAATCTGTCAAGTTCTGGTAGCACAACCTTACCGAGATCAGGTCTATCTTTTCGCCTTAACTCCGCGCAGTTGATTGCTATATTTGCAAAACTCATAACGGCCTCCATTGGCCAATCAGTAATCGCAGGATCCAACATCTCGGTAAAAGTTCCATTTTCAATGGCTTTTTGAGCATTATGTGCTAATCCCATTGGTGATCTTGCTGTCAAGATTTGAAGGAAAATGATCCCAAGTGAGTATATATCTGACTTCACACCCAACATTCCTGTCTGTTGATACTCCGGATCGATGTAACAGAATGTTCCAGCTGTTGTTGTCAAGCGGTATTGCGTCACGCTGTCAGCGACGGACGGTGGAACTAGTCTTGCCAAACCCACATCGCTGATTTTGGATACAAAGTTTCTGTCTAGTAAGATGTTTCCTGGTTTTAAGTCCCTGTGGACTATAGGTTCTGGTTTTGTCTGGTGAAGGAACAACAAGCCCGTGCCTATTTCGGCTGCAATTTTGAACCTTAGCTGCCAAGAAAGCGGAGGATTGTTTCCTCGACGAAACAGGCAATCGTCCAAGCTTCCATTTGACATGTACTCGTACACTAGGCAGCCGTATTCCGGACAGGCTCCTAAGAGGAGAACCATGTTTGGATGCCGTATGCAGCTCAATACCTCAACCTGCAAAGTTATCATGTTAACTAGTCCTTGATCGCTTATACAAATTTCTTAGCACTTGGAAATATAAACAAGACCGAAATTTCCACGAGTTTAGCGTGTATGCTTACCTCTCGTTGAAACTGCGACCTTCCTTGTGCCGCATCAGGACGAAGAACCTTGACTGCAACGGGTGTATGATCCAGAAGACACTTAAAAACCGGACCATATCCTCCTTCTCCAATCTTGAGGGATTGTGAGAAAAAATTTGTTGCAGCTTCAATCTCCTCTATTGTATACTTTCTATATCTAACATCTACATTTACCAAAGCATCCATTACTTTTCTTTTCTCTTCTGCTTCTCTAAGAGCTTTCATTTCTGCTTGAAGTCTCTTCTGTGCTTCTAGTTCTGCTATCCTCTTTTGCGCTTCAGCAGCTTCAATGGCTGCTTTAGATTTTTCTTTCTCCTGTTTAGCGATGGCCAACGCAGCTTCCTCGGCTACCCTCGCCTCTTCCAATCTCCTTTCTTCTTCTAACTTCCATTTTTGAAGTTCTATTGCCTGTCATGCAGATTGCAAAACATGTCTCAGATTTATATATAGGGGCCAAAAGCGTGGAGAGATAAAGAACATATCTGAAACCTTAATTCATACCTTCTGTTGTGCTGTAAGTGCTTCTTTACAAGCTGTGTTGTACATTTCCATTGTTTGCTTGAGCTCCAACTTTAATCTCCTCATTTCAGCCTCCATGTCATCCTAAAATTACATCACAAGATTAATCATCCGAATATACGCAAGTAACGAAAACACGTAAATGCTCAATTTCGTGTTTCCTTACTACGACTTGCGATGAAGATGAAAGCCTTTCGTTATCGAACATTAGTGATGTAAATTCAGCAGGAATGCTGGAATCTATAGAATTCCTTCCTTGAAACATAGACTCAAAGCTGTAGTTTAAATCTTGTTCCGAGCTAATTGACATCCTACTGCCCATCTCCGAGCTGTTATACAATGGAGGCAACATGCGGTCGATACTCGTCCTTCCAGAACTCACAAAGGATATATCACCATCTACCATCGAATTTTCCATGTATTGTTTGGTATTGTAACCTTTCCTGGTGAATGGTGACCTGCATTCAGTAACATTTTTTCCGCATCAGACGACAACTTAACCATAAAAAAAACTAGTTAGCACATCAAGAATAAAACAATAATTAATCATTCAGGTAACGTTACTTACCTGAATGAATCGATTCCATCCTGCGAAGCATCGAAAGAATTCCTTTCTTGTTCTAATAGAAACCATATTTCTTAGTGAGCAAGCAACAAGCTTATATGATATTACTTACACATAATAGAACTAGATTTGTGATGGTTTATGAATCTAACCTCTTGCACTTTGTTCCGACGCAACATTGGTGTCTGGTTGGTCTTGTATAGTAGTTTCATTAACATGTAGAGGGGAAATGCTTGGAGCAGGACGAGAAGCAGATCGCATCGATTGAATCTTTCCTTTTCCAATGACATAGACTGTACAGAAATCCGGTGCACCTTTTGCCACTGTTCCCGAAACATCTGATACCTTGAATCTTCTGATAAGGAAAAAAAAACCCTTCAGAAATCGCATACATATCGATTTTACGTCCATTATCCAAGCTAGAATTCATAGTAAGCTTTGCAAAATGTGATGCTAGTTAGAAAGACGGATTCATACTTGAGCAAACCGGCTTTTGTCGAAGATCCAAGAACCAGATGCTCGATTCCTGCCTGAGAAGCATAATCAATCAATGCTTTTGCTACATCTGAATCTTCTAGTAGAACATCCTTGCATTGTATCTATGCCACACAAAGCAACACAAAAATGAAGATCACACTTAGCCGAGCAAAATAGATCATCGATGACATTGATATTTTCACATATATTTTTTGTCGAAACGAAAAGAAA